TGCTCAAACGCTGATGATTGTTCTTCTATATAGAAATATAGTTTAATTGCACAGTGGTATTTCCTTCAACACAAAATATCTGATTTTCTGACCAATTCTAAAACTCAGCTTCTCGCAATCTATCAGAAGAACAAGCTGACAATTACCGACAGCGAATCGATCTATCGAACCACAGAACGAGCAAATAGTCGGTTGGGAATGATCGCACATTGGAGAATGAACGTACATCTACCATAAACCTTCTGCTCCACTAAGTGGCTTTCGTGTACAATCTCGCGGCCACGTGAATCCACCCTGTGCTCTGTCCTTGGATAATTTTTCTCGGCGAGATCGGTATAGATGGTTCGCACGAGGTCCTAGATCACAGCTCGGCATTGCTGGCTACGTATCGTATCGCCGATGTCACGCGAGATCTTCGTTAGCTCAGGACGAAAGGTTGCGGGACGCAGCACAGCCCCACCGATAGTTTCGTTAGTTTTCGTGCATCGTTTCTCAGCACGAAACACACACACCTCTTCTGCAACGATCTTTATCGCCAGGAGGCGACCAACACGAGCGGTAACTTGAACTTTGGTTTAACAGCGAGCGTGAAGTCCAGCCGAGATTCCTGCAAAGACATTGCCGTGCGATTAGTCACCGGGGTGAGTTAACTTGGGGGTGTCTATTGGGGTTGGTACCCTGCGAGGAAGATTCAATTAACGAAAAGTTGGGTGCGTCGTTACGAGATTTTCTCTATTTTCGACGTGTCTTCTGAAAACATATACATATATTTGAGAACAATATATTTAGATGCTAGTATATTAATTATCATTTATTGATAAATTTATCGATACTTGATTAAGATGTTGTCTTAATCTTCTGTCTAAATTTCTATTATATAACATCATACGCGTTACACTTTCTTTCTGTTTCTGTTACAAAAATTGAAAGATACAAGAACAATTTGCAGTTCCTCCTACATTAATATTGATAATTAAATGATTAAATTAAACTTCTTCGTCGTTGTCTTCATACTTGGTGCAGGGGATTGCACTTCTTTCCGCGCGTTCTTTGGACTTGTCAATATTAATAAT